TTAGATTTATCGTCTGCAAAATACTTTTGTGAATTTATTTTTCGGTCTAACGGTGGTTAATTTTTTTTTTTAATATATTCCGCATTTTTGGTACTTTAAATTTAAAACACAATAATTCCCATAAGGAAAATAGTTAAATATATGGTAAACAAAAATAATCTCAAGCAATAATTTTAAAGTTTTTTATGTGCATGCATATATGTACATATCAAAGGTGTAACGAAAGCAATTTATCGTTCATCATGATGGCATTCTTAGTTTGAAATTTGACAATTTTTTAGTTGTTTCTGAATGTAATGAGCATACCACAGCAGCTGTTTACCTTTTCCAGAAAAAAAACTAATTGGCTGGCTGAAAACAAAGTATCGTTCAGTTGACTTTAAAAAAAATTTATTACTTTTCAGACATTCCATTTAAAATCATTTTGATAATTTTAATATAATAGCGGAAAGGGTATTGGCCTTTCACAAGTAAAAATGCTGACGATAGAGTTGGTGGTACAGTGAAGAGATTTTTACGGAGAGGAAGTATACGTATACCAGATACTAAGCCAATTACATTCCCCGAGGTATTTTTTGATTTAGTTAAAAATAAGTTGCACACAATAATGTTTGTCCCATTGAAGACCATCAAAATAGAAAAGCTTCCTTAGCTTCAACAACAAATAATTAAATAAAATGTAGATTTGTTTCTACTTTTGACGATATCAATCAAATTCGTGAGTTCGACAACCGTACAAGTCCAAAATTTTACATTTTAAAGTAAGATAGCTATTTTGTTTAAAATTTGTCTCTTCTCGTCGACTGAGCTTAAAACCAATACTACATACTTAATCGTTAACGTACGGTTCCAATGCTTAAACTTTTTTTTTTTCAAACTATAAGCAGTTTGTGTATGAAAGTTCAAATTCGTTGTTAAGTTGCTTAAGGAACAGCCTACAACCGCCAAATATTGAGGAATATAAAGAACTTTTTTAGATGAATGAAAAAAATCATGGACATTAATAACATCACATCTTGTAGAAAATTATGATTAAGATAATAGTTTTGATTATAAATTTTTAAACATGCCAGCAGTTGAAATTAAAAGTTTTTGTTAAGGTTGAGTAAAGTAGGAAGAAAACATTTTTTTAAACTCGGTGAGCAAACATATTTTTTTTTCTAAAATTACAAAATATAATTATATATGTATTAATTTCACCATTTTCCAAGAAGATCACTATTCTCACCCCGAATTGGTAAACATATCGAGCCCTAACCGCCAAAAAGACGTTAGCGAAATTTTTTTTTTCAAAATTTCCTTTTTGATGCAGAAATGTTTCTAAATCATCAAGATACAGTTCTGCAACAAAAAAATTAATAATAATAAAAAAAAATCGCTTACGTCTTTTTGGCGGTTAGTGCTCAATATAGTTTGAGGAAAATACTTTGAGCATAAAAATAGACTATACAAATCTTTGCCAATAATCACAACTGCAACTACAAATATTCAATATTTAGTAATTATACCTAGTGGTTTATTTTTACGTAATATTCACTTCCTTTGCGTTTTTTGCCTACTTCTTGCTCCATATTTCGCTTTGCAATATTACAACCTACTCATACTGGCAACTTATTATTACTTAAATGGCTTTATCGTAACACTCTACGGCTATAATTACTTAGTTTTTGTTATGAGCTCATCAGCAGTTATCATCATTATCGTCATGATGCAGTCACCGACTGCCTTAGCCATAATTGCCGGCGTCAATGATGCATCGCAAAGGCGTACAATTTTTTATTATTTTTTTTTTCAATTTTGCGTTTTTTGCATTCCTCACTTGACATAAATGTGTTCTCATGCATTTGAAAAAATATCTATATATATATATATTGTGACGAAGCTGCTATTGCAAACACCATATTGCTATGTATTGGTATTGGTCGGATAGTAGGCCAATTAGCAAACAGTGTAAGTAAACAAACAGTTTTTAAATACCATCTGCGTTTAAACCTTTAATCAAAGTAGCAATTGCTGTTTAAGTTAATTTATTAATTATTACAACAACACTAAATAATTAATACCATAACTTAAAATGCATACTCTATATATTTTCGTCATCATTACAAAAGATAATTAGTGAAATTTTTCATTTCTAACACTAAAGGCAAACAACTATTTAAATTGTCATATAATACACAGTCAATTTTATACACAACAAAAAGAAATATATTCGCAAAAAAGGGGCCAAAAATAGAAAAAGGGTTTTTAGTATTTTCGTCTGACGTCAGGATTTTTTAACGACCTTAAAATTTCAAAGGTATGATTATTAAAAAAATGTACCAGGTTGACCGACCTTTGCCCGGAGTGCATATACTTTTTAAAATTTACAAGATTTGGATAGCTTTAAATAAAAATTTTGGGAACCAATAAAATGAAATGAAAAAAATTTGGATTTCGATGTCTATTAAGTAAATTTTTTACTTTGAAATTTAGGTAGCAATTCCGAAATACGCCGAAATGAATTGTATATATCTTGAGCGTATATATACTGTGTATACATAAAAAAAATGGCTGATTAAAATTAACAAAATAAAAATTTGTATTGCATAAAAGCGTGGCAACCCTGATGGATAATATATTCTGGCCAAAGTTCTCAACAATACCTTTAATTTGATATACATATTGCCCTGTTTTAGATAAATTGTGTAGAATCGAAAATAAGTGGCAGCCTTACACTATTATCCTAAGGGATAACACTTTGTATGTAGGGAAAGCATTGTTCAAGAACCTTCTCTCGGTACCCATGAATAATAATATTTTACCTTTTTGCTAAACAAAAAATGAAATAAATATGCGATTCAAAATAAACTATATATAAAAAATAAATAAAAAACCCTATTAAAAATATTTTTGCATTAGGGATGTTTCAAATACCTTCCATTTCCTTTTCTTTTCACTACATATACATATTTTGTTTCTATGACAGTAGCTACAATTTAAAGCATAGATTTGTGGCAACCCTATCTATTCCATTATTGGCTATTGTTATCAACTCCTAAAAGGATTTTGCAGAGACTTGCATTTCGCTATACCATGCAAAAATTCAGAAATATTATTGTCATTCTATTTTCTCTTTTTGCTATGTGATTTCGACCAATTGATTTTCTTATTTTGTACATGCATTTTTTGACTGAATAAGTCTATTATAGATATAAATACATATAGTATATGCAGGACCATACATACAAAGTAATCTGAATGGTATAGAGATCTTAAAGAATTCTTACGAGAAATCATTATTCCCCTTTCCAATTTCTTGTGGATTTTACGATGATGAATTGTACTAGGCGCACTTAGAATATTTTACGAAATTTCCGAAGAAAATCAGTTAGTAATAATCATAATGCTGCGCTATTAAGAAATCTCAAGATTTTTTTACGAGCTCGTGTCATAAGATTTTCTTCCAAAAATCTCTAGATTTCGAGAGTAAGTTCTCGACACGTATTCCTTCTAGGAATGGTTAGGAGATCGATTCGATCACGGGCATCTAGGTTAACTCTACAGCTATCTACACGGATGGCTCCCAACTAAATTTAGGAGCAGCGAGTGGGATATACTCAAGAGAGCTCTCATAAGATCTCTGTTTCAGGTTGACAAACCAGAGCAGTGTCTGCCAAGTAGAGCTCGCAGCCATTAAAGAGGCTGAAGTTTTGGCTTATTGGATATGCTGTTGATCTCCGTGCAGTAACCATCTACGCTGATGACGGAGACAAGAAAACTTCACCAATTACCTCTCTGCTTTCCGAAGTTGAGCCACTTGTTCACATCGAGTGCAGACAGGTCCTTCCATTTACATCCATGTCGGTAAATTGCTGGTATAGTTTGTGTTTAAAGATATATTCTTCGGTACGGAAATCGTCCATTTTTCCACGATGTATAAAAGGCGAGCTTGATGCGTAGATGCGATGATGTAGAATGTAATTTTAGTTCGTCGGCTATGTTTTTCAATAACTTGCCGAACTGGCTGACTTGCTAAAAAATTAAGTTTTATTTCTTTGTTTTACTCAGATTTTGAAGAATACAGGACTCAAAAAATAATAACTTTTTGTAAGTAATTCATTAAAAATTACCGGGAAAAATTAAGTTACGTAATGAATACTCATAAGTTAATTTAAATTAATCAATTTCACAATTTACAATGACTTTGAAGTTAAAAAATAATGTATATTTAGCAACACTAATTAAAAACGATCATAATGCACTTTTATAACTGAACTTCCATAACGTCACACTTGAAGGCTTTCAACATTTCCTCAAATGCTTTTTCTATACAATTTCCTTTTACGTTTCACTATTTCTTTTTTACTTTGAAACGTACAAGATTTATGTATACATAAATGCAACAAATACGCGAAAGATAATGTTTTCATAGGTATGTATGGGCATAAATAAATGACCAAACAAACTACTGTTTTAATGGCGATAATGATAAGGTAATGTTTTGAAAAATTACTACCATTACATCATGCCGCAATTAAAGTGCCACAAGTGCAGCAGCCAGGCAAAGAAATGGTACCGTATGCACACCATCATGGCAGGCGTGTAAATGTTCATTGCTTGCAGAGCAGCAAAATATGTATGTATGTATATGTATGTATGTGCATACATATGTATGTGCAAAAAATGTTTGAATAATTGCTATCGGCAAATTTATTTCGTGTTCAGTTGGATATACATAAATATTGAATCGAACTGGCAAAAAACTAAAACCTTAGCGCACGATTTTTTTTGCTTGATATGTCCTCATACCATAAACTAAATACCTATGTAGTTGAAGAGTTAAGTTGTCATCTTAAATCATATATCCTTTTTATCTCTTCGCCTGAACCCAATAATATTTTAATATGAATAATACCCGTAATATATAGTATTCCTGACATAACTAATTTCTGGCACACAGTTTTGAATATAATTTCTAACAATTTTATACATATGTATTCTTTTATTTGATTTTCCAGCGTACAGAGGAACGTTCGATACAGTTGGCGGTACGAGTACATAAAACACTGGAATTGGCGGATGATAAGTTTTATGTTATTACATGTGGAAAATCCGGGTTTGGACGGTAAGTTGAATTTAATTTTAAATATTTGGGTATATATATGGATAGTTAGGTATATTTTAAGTGCATAGCAAAGAATAAAAATGTTGGCTAGTTTAGGATCATTTCGCTACTATTTGAGGAAGAAACAGTAACTCATTTCCTCTGCAAATGCTGAAGTCTGAAGTTCTTTAAGACATACAACTTTCGGGAAACACATAATGAAACAGCTAGCGTATTTATCTAATGCTACCATAAGCGATTCTAGGTTATTTGATTACGGTAGAATGAAATGTCATTGTCCACGAGAGGTGCACCAAAATGGCATTTTTATGCGCTAATTGCATCCTAAGTGTCAACTTGGGTAGCACAACGACTAACCAACCAGTTCGTGATCATTTCGGCGCCGATTATAGATCTGTTCAGGATCGTTTCGGGACTAGTTCAAGACTATTTGAGGACCATTTTAGGGACTCGTTACGGACCATTGCGAAGCTTGCTCACAACTATTGCAGTAGATACTTGTTCGGGATAATTTTGAGATTAGTTCAGGGATCATTTTAGGATTAATATAGACCATTTCAGGACCGTTTTGAGACTTATTCGAGATTTTGGGGTCTGTTCAAGGCTATTTCAAGAACATTTCGGGAAGAGTTCGGGATAATTCCGAAACCTGCTCAGGACTGCCATTTTGGGACTAGTTCTGAACCATTAGTAGCTAGTTCAGGACTCTTTTAGGACTAGGTCTGGTTCATTTCGGGATTAGCTAAGACTGGTTGAGAACTGTTTCAGGACCATTTTGGAATAGTTGACGACATAGTTCAGGAATATTTCCAGACTAGTTCGTGATAATTTGGGGCTAGTTCAGGAGCATTGCCGGACTAGTTTGAGATCACTTTTGGACTAGTAATTGTCTACTTCGGCACAGTTTCAAGACTTGTTCGAGATCATTTCGTGACCAGTTCACGACTTTTTCAGGCCCACCTCAGGACAATTTTGGGAATAGTTTAGGGTAATTTCGAGATAGTTCGGAACTAGTTACGAAATTATACTGAAATAGTCCCGAACTATTTTCGAAGTGGTTATGAAAAAGACGTGTACTGGATCGCGCCGAATGTGTGTAACTTAATGGCCCAATGCTTAGCCGTTTCGGTACGTGCCCTTAGGACTCTAATTGTGGATATTAATCTCCAAACGTTAGAGGGCGAAAAGTTATTGCGAAAATTTTGAAAATGTGTAAAAATATCCTTTTTTAGGCAAAATTGTTATTCTTATAAACAAAAATTAGCTTATACCCAGCATGCTTTGTGCCACACCTTAAATAATATCTGTAACAGTTCTTCGTAAGATGTTTTAATTTTGGATAAAAACTGAATTTTAATGGATAATTTGTAACAAATCGTCAATAGCCGCGATGCCTAACGGACTTTGACAAAATGTTTGAATCCTTTTCTCTTAAAAGTCGTCGGATCTTATAAACCATAATACATTGGCTCTATGTGAACGTCCAATGCCCGATATTTTATACTTTCTATGTATATATGTAATTGTACCCGCCGAAATTTGACCAAACTTTGAAGTTATTCAGTAAGCGAGAAGTTAGTTAAAAATACATCAGTTGCCTTATAATTTTGATGAGCGCCACACCTTGGAGATGGGATCCCGATTAAAACAAATACGAAGCCGTATGCATATGAACACAAATACGAATAGAAACATGAATATGAAGACGAAGAGGAAGACGAATACGACCACGAAGATGAATACGAAGAAAAGGAATACGAAGATGATTGCGAAGACGAATACAAAAACGACACTAAAATAAGGCGAATGAGAATACGAATATGAAGATAAATACGAAAATAACTCGACAAATAAGGATGTGAATACGAATACGAAGACGGCGCACAGTGTTGCGAAACCGGAATTTTTTGGAAATCATATTGCCTAAACTGTAATTTTAATTGTATCGATGAGAAACTTCTACAGATTGGTCAGAATGAAATCCCAAACAGAATGAGTGAAAAAAAAATTTACACCGAAAAAAATTGTTGGGTCAAATTTTCAACAAAAGTAAAAAAAAAAAAATAATTGTTCGAAAAATTCACAAAAAAAAATTTATTTTAATTGTTCTTTTATTTCTGATAAATACCCTATGATTAGTTTTTTAAATAAACTATAGGGTGGTCCGAACAAGAATTATAAACGTCAAATTTTTATGATTTTTCGATATTTGTTGAAAAACTCTGAAATTTTATATAAAACCAAAATCTATTTCATTTCTTATTTGAAAGGTGGCAATAAAAGCTTTAATTTGATACCGGTTTGAAGTCAATAGCTTCAGTTTTAAGAGAGTTATGCTCATTTTTGTGGAGTGCTAGAATAGATGTAGAATAAAAAAAAAAAAAACCACAAAATAAAAACAATACAAATAAGCGCGCAATAACGGATTATTTCACCCACCTACCTAGACGTAAAAACAAAGGGGGAGAGAGAGAGAGCGAAAGAGAGAGAATAAAATAGTAAAACAACAGAGAGAGAGAAAGGTACCACCACAAGCTAAAAGAAAACACTATATAAAGACGGACACACATGCGGACTAATTAGTGACAAAAAAGAAAACACTGAAGATGGCGATTAGCCGAAACCGGTCTGAAAATAATAAAAATTTGACATGGGATGACGGAAAGACACCCGAAAACCAATATGATTAAATTATTCAATAAGTGATTCCGAGAATTTCCGTTCTATTTCTATGGAATAAATACTGAGAGTGATATACTAAAATCGCTATAACTCCCAGGAGGGCAGGTATGGGCAGCTGATTTTTTCACAGTTCGTTGAAAACAAATTATGTAACATTTCTGTAGTGGTTTGGAACTGGGACTCTCTGGGACTTTTTAGATATTGCTTACCTAACCCAAAATTAAAGGACCTTTAGTCGGGTTTTCGCTCTAAAAAAGGTACATATGAAAATGTCTCAAACAACATTCCTTTTTTTTTACAGAAGATACTTGTCCGAAGGCAGATTTGTTTTCCGAATCAAAATATCTGTCACCAAAATCAAATGAGATCATTTTGAATACAGCCCTGAAATCCCCTCTTTTCGTGAAAATTTTGTATATTTGACTTCTAAAATCAATTAAAAATCAACGGGCCAACATAAAAATAAGCTTTATGTGTTTTTTGTTTACTTGGAATGTCTGTGACAAAATTGCATCATTAAAAACACTGAAAAAAATAATCGGTAAAAAGTTACTTTTCCACTAGCCGCAACACAGTGCGGCGACGGCGACGAATATAGATACGAAGAAGAACTCGACGATGACAACGAACACTAATATAGGTGCGAATACGAATATGATCCGAAGACGAAATACGAAAGTGAATACCAAGACTAGTATGAGGACGAATACAAAAAAATCTTCAGAATTCTTAAAACACTATAAAAGCACCAAATTTCGCCAGTAACAAGCACTCCTTGTGTTGATAAAATTGTCAAGGGCTTTCAGACTCTACCTGGGAAAAAGTGTTATTGGAGAGGAAAGTTGCTAGATATTTTAATGAATATGGTTTTGTCAAAGTAAATTTGGGAATATGGATCGTAATTTTCAATCAATTTCAAAAAAGGGATAGATTATCAATTCGTCGGAATATTCTTTTTGCTTATGTATGCTACCGCATAACTTTGGTCCTCGTTAACCGATTGTAATAATAATTTTTTTAAAGGATAGGAGGTGGTCCCATTGCATCATGAAGAAATTAATTTCAAGACCGTACCCCCTAATTTTATTCGTTTTTATGTTAAATATTATTGCCTATTTTTAGAGATTTTAGATAGACTACATATTTTGAAAGTGTGGAAATTATCGATGGTCAAAATTCAAAAAATTAACAGAAATATGTTTTTTTTTAATATTACCCGATAAAAAATTCGAACTTGCCAAGTCCGACAAAAGATTATTCTATACCATTTTAAAGGCCTATTTATCCTCTTCTCACATCACATTCGATCTGTTGAAATCTAATCAAAACTAGTCATTCAAAAACTCATAAATCTACAAAATCGTATTTTCTGACTTAAATCGACAGATCGCGACTTCTGAATGACCTTTGAAATATCTATAAAATAGGCAATAATATTTCTCATAAAATCGAATAAAATTTGGGGGTAGGGTCTTGAAATTTCCAAAAAAAACATCTTCGATGGGCACCCTAATGTATATATATGGTTTATACATCATTGTCCAACAACTTTGCTTGAATTCACTTCAAACAAAAGGCTAGGCACACATACATACATATTTATTCAAACTTATTCGATGAGTGTGGGCTTAGGCTGACACAAAAGTGACTTATTTATACTCGTGCTCATTTAGATAAACGCACACATGCAAATGGGCGTCGGTATGTTGCTTGACAAACAATGCAAAGTTTCAAAATAAACAAAATCATAAAATCAAATAAGAGGTGTTCTTTCTAAAACCGGGCGGATTTCGTTCACGACATTAAGAGGCTGCACTAATAAGTTAAAAATATGCTGGAACAGACATTATTTTCAAAAAAAAATTTTTTTATTTGAGAGATCTGATTTGTCATGGTTTGCATTTTCTCGCGATTTCTACTAAGCATACCATTTTAAAACGTTCACCTCAAAACCATGTTAAAGCTAAAAGGATCGATTATATTTTTGATATATGAAACGCCCATGAACATCATAACACCCTTTTGGCTTTAAGCGAAAAAATTTTTCGAACTAAATTCGAATTTTGAAGACCATATCGTTGATAGTCCGTTTCAGTTTTCTACAAATCCCATACTTAGCTACGCTAGTTTATTATTTCAATTTTTTGAGTCTCTATAGAGGAATCTGTACTTTGTTGCCTGTGCGACACGCCTTAAACAATCGGGACCAATATTTATGCGTGATTTAGGTGATCGTCTTTCATTTCATTATTTTAAGGACCACCCTAATGTATATACATGCATATATACATACATCTGTTCGCTTGACACAAATGCGAAATTTTATTGTGTATAGAAATAAGAACCCCAGAGCACATAAATCTAATCCTACATAAAAAAGCATGTGTTTGCGGGCGTAGGCGTTAAGTTGGCGAACAAAAAGATAACAAAAAAAATAAATTTAAACAATTTTTTTCTTAACAAAGCAAATAACTTCAACATCAAGGCCAGTCAATTAGACAAAATAATTCTTGTCGAATATTGGAATTGTGTGATCAGCCGCAAAAGTATGACTTTGATGTGTGCCAAAATATATATGTACATATGTATATGATAAATAGTCTATGCTCCCTTTGAAGTTATTAAGAGCGTAAGCATTAAATCAAAACGGAATGTGCGCGGTTATTAGCTTGCTTGCTATGCTTTATGCGTTCCACATGCGACTGAGCGTCACTTTCTTTCTTCTTTGTAAGGCGAATAAACTGGCGAAAAGTGTTGAAAGCAAGGTCGGCTAAGTCTTTCGCCTTACAAAAGAAAATTCAATTGCGTTGAAATAAGCGCACGCACTTATTGTTGAATTTTCTTTTCATAGGAAGTTGATTGATTTGTTCGCACTGTGGCTAAAGCCAGTCATTAAAATATCGAAACCACAACGTAGAGGATTTTCGTTTTTCAGGTTTGTGGCTTAAGTCTTTTGTTGTTAGGCAACGCAGCCATTGCTTTTTGTTCAATTTCCACTTTATTGCCAGTCACATTTGCGTGCATTCGCGAAATTGCCAACACACAAAAAATAGATAAAGTTTTTATTATTACTCAATTTCATTCAAATTTTATGCTCTGTTAAATTGCTAAAATGCGCTGGCGGCGATGGCGTTGCACTGCATGTGAAGTACGTATGTATGTATGCTTGGTTTGTTCGTATTTCCGTGTGTGTTGCATGTTTTCATAAATGATTTTTAGTTTTTGTTGGTTTTTAATATAATTGTTTTGCATCTTTCTTTTGTCATGATCCGCTCTTCCGCAACTTTTAGTAACATTTAACTATTTGCCCATCTGTAACATCGCAGTGCGTTCAACTCGCTCGCCGCATTCTCGTTTTCATTGCACAAAAATTACATAATTCTTATGCTGCAGGTAGAAACCACAAAAAAGTTAGCGGGCTTAGGCCGCAGTAATTGCGTACATTTAATTACCAGTTGCATACTGCAGCAATAGTCGTTGTTGTTGTTGCTACATAAATTTCATAACAAAATACATATTACAGCTCCGCAACACTCTACGCAGTTGTAGCATGTAAAAAAGAAAAAAAAAATAAGAAGTTTTTTAACAGTCCCTGCAGTAGGAGTAGCTTAAAAAGTTCTAATTCGAAATTATAATACCAGATAGCTATTCTGATTTACCAGCATTTTATTCATATGCTTTTTTGTTACTCTTTTTTTTTCTATTTTCCATTTCGTTCGCTTCGCTGTGACCAGCGATGACAATGCGCATGTCATCTTGAAGTTCTTGGAGAATGATCGTCGTGTACGTGAAACGGTTTATGGCCATGAGTATAAAATCCGCGCAGAATTAACGAAGCCAAATGGTAATTAATTTTTTAATTGCATTCTGCTCATAACGGTTTTGGTTATTAAAACCTTTCCGATGCGTAAATATATTATTTACTTGGAGAATGATACTTATTTCATTTACTGTTTTTATTTTTCATCTTAAGGTACTTATGGCATAAGAGTCGCAAACTGTTTCGCTTTTGACAAGAAGAATATCAGTATACCGCTAATTGATGACAGAGGGTGAGTTGTAATATATACTTATATAATCTGGCATAGCTTTTATTTTGTTATGTAGTACAAATCTTTGTTAATTAGTATTCACACTATGTAAAAATTAAAAATCAGCTTCAGATAATTTTTCATATTTTTTCATGCTTATGTATATTCACAGCTGTCCCGTGGATGAGGCTATTATTTCTCGTTTTTTGCCAACCCCTGATGGGCACAGCGCTGAAGCGACACTTAATTCGATGTTCAAATTTCCAGAAGGTAAGACTATAAACACAAATTGTTTCTTTAACAGAGAGAGTTTTAAGATAAAAATTTTCACACGTATTTTTTTGGTTAATTTTACTTTACCATATAATTTTTTAATTTTTTCGCTAAGCACTTTCAGCGAGGTTTTTTCAGTTATAAATAAGAATTTAGTTAAATTAATATAGACTCTACATTATAGAAAGGCGCTATCTAAAAAGTATATGTTTATAAATTCTATAAGGCATTTAGTGAGTAATCTCGAAACCTTTTTACAAAGTTGAATTTCGAAAGAAAATGAGTTAGGGCTTTTCTACACTCAGAAAAAAGTCCGCTAGATATATTCCTTTGAGAGAAATATTTTAGCTTGATTTTTTCTAGGTGTATATTAACCCTTTGACGGCCGTTACTGATCTGTATGAAATTCAAAGATGTGACACCTGATTACTTAACAAAAGTGTCGGCAATTTTTTTTTTTTTTTTGTGAAAAAATTTTTTTCTATACCTAGCAGACTTTCGATTGAAAAAAACTGTTTACACGAAGTGAGAGAAGAAAGTGAGTAAAAACCAAAAAATTACTCAAACAAAAGAAGCATTTTTCCTGTAAAAACGTCAAACAGTTTTCTTTCAAATTGAACAAAGAAAAAATTTAAGGAAATAAATTAAAAGTTGATTGCTAGCGAGGAATATTAAATCGCATACGAAACTGTAGTATTTATTTATGAGTAGGGATCACACGATTTGTTCATTATACAGATTTGTACATTTTCATAGTTAAGGAGTTGTGTTGTTTGGAAAGTTGTTATTGAGCTGAATTCATTATTTCCATTATTTCTAGACAACGCCTCTCTGTGGCTGCCAAAATGTACATGCGAATCTGAACAAATGTACAAATCGTGTGATCACTGCTTAATACTTTAATATTTTTCGCTACCAAATTGACCACGTACCATTTTGATATACAGTGAAACCTTATCTAACGGACACCTCTATTAGACGGGCATCTCCCTTGGGCGGACATTTTTTCCTATACCAAGTTTTAAGTTTAAATTTCGGAACAAATTACTCTCTCTTAAGCGGACACTCACTTGGCCGGACGCGGACAGTTCTTTTGCGTAAAATTGACACAAAAACTTCTATTGAGCGGACGCGAACCTCTTATCAACGGACATTAAGATTTCTTTTCATAACAAGTCAAACAAAAACCTCCGTTGAGCGGACGCGAACTCCTCATAGGCGGACTACTAAATGGAAAAGGGGGACTTCCCGCATAAAATGTGATTTTTATGCACACATTTAGTTTGGTTTATGCAGTGGTTTAGGTTCGTTATTTGAATTATCAGAAACCCTTGGAGAATCCAGTTCCAATTCTGATGAATTTATAACAATAGAGTAATAAATACATGGACCGAAAATTTAGATTTCTGGTTGGATTTCGTTACTGATAAAAGCATGAAAACTATTGATGAAAAAGGTGCTTACACTGAAAAAAATTAAAAATAAAACTTACGTCAATCGACAATTTCCCAGTTTTTTATGTAATGAATCCATGGTTTTATGTAGTTTATGGACTGAAATGTAATATTTATTTTTATTTTGTTATTACTTAATATGTACTTACGCACATAAATGAAATATGCACTTTTGAAAATATACATGCACATTTTTCTTTGAACGATGTAATATCAATATCTTTTATTCAAATAAGAAATAGTGACTATTCAATTAATTAAAACATTAAAAAGTTCTAAAATAAGCTTCACGTCCATTGAGCGGACACCTCTCTTGGGCAGACAAAAAATGACTGACGGTGAGTGTCCGGCCAAGGGAGGTTTCACTGTACTTTTGTCTTTGTTTTTTGTTTTTGTTTTAACATTTCATTTAAACACTTAGCAGTTGTGTGGAAAAACTTATCCACTAGTGTTTTCTAGATGGCGGCAGTTGAAGAGCTCCCTGGGTCATGAGAATTAAGTTTTACATTCCCTGCAACATTGTTCCTACAGTACAGTACCAGTACCTCTCCGGATCATAGGTTACTATTCTTAAAAGATTTTTTTTTCAAACTGTAAAAGATATAAACAAATTTTTACATAACTTTATCATAAGCAGGTGTGAATAACTTAAAGATTGTTAATTTATTGATATACTTAGATAAATCTTTAATTTCCATTTTAATTTTTCACCACACCAGGCTCCGAAGTGCATCTACAATGCGATGTGATACAATGTTATGGTCGTTGTATGGATGATGAGGACTGCAAACAGATCGCTTTGGCCGGCGCGGGTGGTGTAAGCAAAGGTGGCAATCGTAAATTGGCTCCAAATGAAGAGGGTTCTAGTATTGCAGGCACCACTGTATTTGTACTTGATCCAGCAAAGGCGCCATGTAAGTAAAAACCATTTCTGAATATGAAATGTATATTGCCCTATATTTGCCCTATATTACAATTTTGTAGAAAATAAAATTAAATTCTTCAAAATCTCTAACTTTTGTCTACAAAAATATTAGACGGGGAATTTTACAGAAATCTGATGACTAAATATCAATACGGCTTATTCCGAATTTTAGGGTATTTTCATGATAAAGCTTAGAATACGGCTCTCAATAAAAATCACAAGAAATAGTTTTCATAAGTTCTGTTGCTGGAACAAGCACTTTGCTTTTCCACACAATTTTGGATTTTTGGCTACCTTGGCAACAAAAATATTTCAGAAATTAACTACATACTTCAAACTTACACTTTATTACACTAAAATTTAATGAGCTACATTTTGAACATTTTCTGAAATTCGTTGAATTTTTATAAATCTTGTTCTTTGACTTATATCGTTTTGGTTAAATAATGGGCTATATTTGTATCAAAAAAATAATAATAAACATTAAATAAGCAGAAGAAGAATATCCACAACTTGTTAAAATGTCACGTCACTAATTGTTTGCCCACCACTGTACGTTTATAATGGTACTACTCAAGATAGAAACCTACATACATACATTTAATGAACTCAAGCTTAAACGTAAGTTTTCGCGCTCGTGAACCTCTGTTAAGAATCCCGCTTAACCTTCTACAAAAAATGTTAACCCTAAGCTGTCCCTTTTGATGAATTTCTTCATAAAAATTTTCAAAAAACCCATAATGGGGCAGTTCAATGGAGAAATTTCGCTTACAAAAAATCACTGGCTACTAATACTTGCTTACTAATTATAGCTAAGAAATGTATGTCGTCGCCTAAAGTCAGTCATTTTAATGGCCGGCCCCAAACGATTTTTACTATTTGCCCCCCACTTTAGTATTGGTGCATAGAGGGCACCACTGCGATAATCGCGACAACGCATGCAAAGCGTACTGCCTAAGGGTCAATCAAGGAGTACTCCAAAATTAATCGAAATGCATATAAAAAAGTGATCTAATTAACACTAAGATGACCTAGGGAAGGGCTTAGGTTTGTCCGCCTTGTAGTGCAAAAAATGTACTTACATGAAAAAAAATCCAGTAGGTATGTATGTATTTTAGGGCGGAGTAATTTAATTTTGCAAAAAGCGTATGGCATATTCGAATTCTACGTTCGATTCTAATGTCTGTACTTCGAATTGAGGAACACATACAGTGACCAAGATGTAAGTAGGATTCAACATATTGGCCAGGTTTGGCTACTTTGCTTTTGTTTATTTAACCTTTATTATTTGTTTATGAAAGTAAAGCTCTTTTCCCAACAAGAACCATATAAATCCAAATTTCCGAGTTTTGGCAAAAACTATGAAAATTAATTCTGCAAAGATTCATCGAAATTAGAATCTTAAAAAAAATTTGATTTGCAGTTTTGGAGCTCAATAAAATTTAGTATAATAAAGTGCAACGAGCTGCTCATTTGCTTCCGTATAAAAAAATATTTCTAACATAAATACATACTTTGTATGAAAAAAATGCTTAACACTTTTAACAAAAAAAAAAAATTAAAACTCTGAGGTTTGCCATTGCCGGCCGAGCGGCAATGTTTATTTTTTTTATTTATTGATGTTGGTCGGAAACCGGGCTTGACCCCACGGTCTGCGGAATGGTAGCGGGCACTGCTAACCACTGATTGCCTTTGCATTTTATTATTCTAAAATTTAACGAATATTTTGTAAGAAATTTGCGCAGTAAATATCTCGAGAAGAATATCATACAAATTTGTAATGTTACTATAAGGATACTGTTTTATGGTGAATACATCTAGGATCATTGAAGAAGCTTTTAAGATATCTTAGCTTTTGTGGAAAAAATTAGCAAAATTATTTTTGTCCCGTATTCGGCTTCCATAAATATGATCACCGTCAATAAAATTCTGAAATAGGGCGTTCTTGAAAAGTTTTTTTAAGATAGGGCGTTTTCGAACTGGCTGCCGAGATAGGTCGATCTTCCACTCAGCAGTCGATATACTGCTTTTTTTTAAATTGGGAGGGTCAAACATCATTTTTGTATCAGTGAAAAATTCTTGTCACAGTTTTTATTACGGAAAAATATATGAAACATTTTTAATTTTTCAGTAAAAAAAATTTTGTCACCGATACAGAATTGGGCTATTAAAAATTTTGCTCCGAATAAATTACTCCGCACTAATTTATGTGTTTGTGTCGTTGAGAGCAAATCTCATTTCTTTCCAGCGGTATTTATATTAGTTAGTCTGCTCTACGCCGTACCTTTCCTAAGTTTATTACGGTCGGCAAGCCTTGGAAACATCTTTTCCCCATTTTAAAGGACAATATTCGTTCGTCAAAAAAATGTGTGTATTGGTATTGCTTTCCACTTATACATCGAGTGTTAACATAATTAACAACTTGAAACTGCTCTGTTAAAACTACAGAAAAACCGATGCTTTTTTGTGAATCCTCTAAGTTCTTTAGCTTAAAATAAATACTTGCCTATGAATATCCATCAAATTTCACAATGTTTTGCAATAAAATAATTCCACCAAAACTCCTTCTTTTCCAGTAATCAGCGGTGACTGTGAAGATGGCATTCGCCCACCATGGCTACTCTGGTTGGCCATCACACTCGGCGTGCTCTTCTTAATCATGTTGCTGATGAATATTTTCCTTTGTACCGCAATGAGCTGCAGTTGTGCGAATACCGAGGTAATTATCTCAACTAACCAAATCATTCATTGTCGAAATCTCGAAACTTAACCTGTGTATCATCTTTTTTCTCGGTTGTTATTGTAACTAATCAACTAGATCATCGAAAAAGAACCATCCATCATTGAAGAATACGATCCGTACCGAAGTTGGCATGGTAGTCAGTATGGATCGCGTTACTCACTGCATGGGCGCGACGCGCATAAAGGTTACACAAGCGGTGGCTCAACGATACACTCGAATAGGTCTGATAGATATTAAGATGACACAAACTAAAAGAAAAAATATATATAGAAAACCATTTCAAACAAATTAAGCAAATAACAATGCGTTAAAAATAACTATGTATGTATATGTATCTGTGCTACATACTATGTGTTAAAAACCACACACACAAAAAAACAAAAAATCAAGAACAAAAACAAGGAAAACATGGAGAAGACATTGCATGCCCGAACGACTTAAAAATTGAAAAAGAAAAAAAAAACAAAAACACTTCCTTTCGAATGGTCATTGTTTTGAAAAATTACTGCCATTTAGGCCACCGACAAGCAACACTACTACTTATACGGAACACCGTACAGTACATACAGTGTAAAACAACAAGTTGTATGTGTATGCGTATGTGTTTATGTGTATGTAATTTTAAATGTTTTAACAACTAATTTTAGAGTACAAATACTAAAGTAAAAACGAAAAAAAAACACAAAAATAAATAAGTAAATCGAGAGATAAGTTAATAAAACAACAACACAAATTTTCTATAACACAAATTGTAGGTATGTAGGTATTTCTATGCTGTAACTAACTATTTAACGGTCATAGTTTTCACTCAAATTATTTCTCACTCAACGCGAATAGTTTGTTAATAATTTTCGAAAGAAGCTTAAAGCAAGGTAATATTAACTTCACTAAAATGTAAATACTTTGTAACATATTTATGTCACTCATTCTTATTTTCTTTTATTTTTACAACAACTTAATATTTACTTACATACTCAAATGTCACTCAATGCTCACACGCCCACTACTAAAACTCTACTGCAAATTTTAATTTTTATTTACATATACATATGTACATTTGTTGCAAGCAATATACAATAACCAGAAATAGTTTGCTTAAAAATTGTGTATTCTTGAAGGTCGATTCCCATTGACAATGACAATTATGCGATTGTACATTCGCGTCCCGGCTCTAGGCAAAACGGACAAGCGCAAGGACACCGCAACCGCGGACCGCCCAGTAATATGTAACACACAAATATTCGACTATTTAATGCTAACTGCTAACGTTAAGTACAATTATAAGAATTAAAATTAAAAAATATAAATATTAATTTAATCTTAAAAAAAAGAAATAAATCGAAATGTATATAAAAATTTTATGTAGCTACAGCTCTTTTACTGTACACTCTTCTTATCCTTGCACTTTGGCTTTCGATACTTTCCGAAACTAACGAAATCACTCAATTCTCAATGAGCTGCAATGTTCCAGAGATTTTCAGCGTTATTCATTAACGATTGTACTTAAATTAAAAAGTAAAATTCATTAAAAACAAAATTTCATTTCATTTTGTAATTTCATAAACTTCCTGTAACTGCAATGTCACAAATTATAAAAAAAAAATGTGGTGAATGCAAGTTTTAAAATTATGCGCTACTGTATTATAATAATTTTAACATAATTTAATTGTGACTTCTTCCAGCTCCTACTAATCCGTAAGGCGCTGCTTTCACATGCAATTTTTCAGTGCTGCCACTGTGTTATCGCTTTTCTTCATTCGTATACAAGCATAAATTGTTCCGTTTGGTTGAAGAGCAATTCCAAGGTAGCGAGCTTCTATTGGATTCTAGAATACTAAACTGGACCAGTTGCAAATCTAAAAATTGCATGTCAGCACAGTGCCTAACTGAAAGCCCGAAACATATCTACATATGCACACTAACCCAGTTGTATTATTTTTTCTTTTAAAAATGAATAAAAGTAAGAAACTATAGATACAATTAAGTCATTAGTTTAGTAAGTTGCGAATTAAAAATTCTTGAATTCGATTGGCATTTAAATATAAATGAATTATTTGGAAAATATTTTTATATAAATACAAAAAATAAAAATAAAAAATAAACCAAAACTGTGCACAAAATTATGAAATTATTTTATGCTGACGATATGCGTGTAATTATGTACGTAAATTTTTATGGTTATGTTAAAAATAATTAATAAATAAAAGTCGGACTAATCAAAAATTTAGTTCTTTTTTGTTTTCGATTATGTACCTACTAAAGTCAAAATAATTGATTTTTATAACTATTTTTCTGTTGCATCCGCTCATAGTCTAAGAATTTTCGAAGAAGTCAGAAGCCTTTGGCTTTTGAAACTTCCTTGAATTGCTCAGATTTGCTCAGAGGCTTTGGCTAAGAACTCACTGCGGAAAGCCTGCAGGATGCAGTTTAACAAGACACGAATGTTTAAGGACGAATCTGAGTCGGAAAAATTATAAGCAAAGATATCTACTTGGAGGTACTTCTGTATTTGCGGCGAGGGTGCTTCCAGGACCGTCAGGTTAAGAAAAATTTCGTCGAGATCCACTAACCCGATCGGGATTCTGCAGAAGCAATACGGTTCCTGTACCACAAATTGAGATTATGCACCATATTCCCATGGAAATTCGCAGACAGGCTGCTCTAATGTTTCATATTTCTATTAATTGTGAGAATAATCGGATATTAGGCTTAGAGGCATTTTACTTTTGGCCTCTTCGTAAAGATTTCGATAGTATTCCAATGTTCTTAACAATTCAAGTTGAAATATAGCGTTCTATTAGGTATAATGTAGAGTTTCAATTTGTGCGAACATAGTTACAAAATTACAGCAAAAATTATAAGAAAAGCAAATGTAAAAAAGGTAAACTTCGTAAAGAAATAATTAGGAGGTGTTTAAAAATGCCGCGCCAAAAATGATCGCGTAAAAAGAGGATGAGGTGTACATTTCTTGCAATCATTCAACCAAATTTAATTTCAAATTGAAAACACAGGCAATCGACAATTCGTAGGACATCGCAGTGTTAAATTCGCCAGTTGCAAGCATGCAAAAGAGAATTAATGCGAACTAGTCATGGTTCTAAATTTCTCTAAATAGTACAGAATCAGTTCGGCATTGATGCACTGGATAAAATGCTAGTGCTCGCGTTGCCAACTATGCAGGGAAGTTACATTTGCCGCGATGCGCGTCTACTTGCTTACTTCCGTTTTACACAGCGCCGTCTTGCGGCCAGTAGTCATTAGTTTACTTTGCTATTGATCTCAAAGCGATGCCATATTGTTTTTTAACCTGTCAAAGATGTCATATGAATCCAATAATTAAAAGAGATATCGTAAGCTATGACATTTTTAGCCGTAAACTGTGGACTAGTGCATTTGTATACCTATAGGTGATAGGTATTAAATTCAGTCCACACAGTAAAATTAATAAAAGACCACAAAGAAACATATTCTATCATATATTTGCCCCATAAATGTCTTATTTAGACCGCAGCCAGCATAAAATTGTTTTAAACCAATTTTTTATTAGTATGATATCAGGACATAAAGTAAGCAATGGATATACTAATCCATTGTGATATATATTTGCAAATCTGCTAACTAAATTTCCGCAAGCATATAATAATGTGTTTTTAGTTAAGGTTAATCTTAAGTTAATAAATAAATCGCAAAAATTTAATATTTGTAACGGGAATCATTATCACTAACTCACTTTCATCTGTTATTAAAAACAGGTAAGCCATACCAAATTCCTCCCTTACTAACCTCAGATTAAATCGATAACCTTTCGGTGCCCAACAAAGTTTTATCGAAGAATAGGGCGCTAGAAAGGAAAAGAGGTTTGTAAATTTTAATGAAATACTAAGTGGAAATATATTAAAATTGTTTAATTAAGCAGAAAAAACTGATCACAATGGTACAGAGAAGGAATTAAACTTTTTCTTGGGTTGTGGGAGAAACAAACACTACACGTTTGACGGCTAATAATGCCAGATTTGACAGTGTAAATGGGGTGATTAACAAAAGAGCTTTTATTGAGATTATTTGACAACTACGCAGCAAGAACAATACCAAACAATGGATTGGATTTAAGATAGGATTTTCCGACAGAATGTGGTATTATTCCTTAAGCTCGATTTACATGAGGCGATTTTCTAGGCGATTCAACATTGCTACAGAAAAATCGCCCGTGTAAATGGTGATTCAAAAATCGCTTGTCTCAAAGTAGACAGCAAGTCAACTTTTGCAGTAGCTTAAGAAGAACGATGTACATATTTATTTTAATTAGGACTGCGGACAAAAAATTACCATCATGTGTCGCTCCATAAATGCAATTGATATCCTATCCCTCTCGCTCCCAGAAACCCTCACAGAAACTTGTGAGAATGCCTTAGTGAATAACAAATTTTTTTTCGCGATTGTAGTAGTTAGTTGGTCAACCTAGGCTGCTGGGTACTTAATTATGCATATATGTACATACATAAGTTATACAAGTAAAATATAACAAGTATTAAAATACATACATACATACATATCGTTGTTTAAAGTACAAAACTGCATATCGTCATTATGCAAAGCCGCGTAAGTAACATTTGCTGCAAAAAATTTGGATTTGCTCACACAAGCTTATGGCTTAATCGTTATCCATTCGTGCTAAAATATACTATCGAGAAATATGATTACTTTATAACACAGAGGTCCATTTTAAAATATGAGTGTTTTTATTCTCTAGAAAATAATTTATGCAATTTCACATACGCGGTTTTGCATTATCTTGATACACGGTTTTGTACTTTAAACGACGATATGTAAGTTATACAAGTGATATTTAACAAGTATTTAAATAAGTCAAAATGTACCGCCAGCCAATCAAGGGTTAACACTCCATAAACAGCCTTCCGCAATAGCTCGCAAATACTGTCTAGTCAGTCAGCTGGCGTTGCCAATCGAGTGCGGATGTGAGTAGCGGTTGGACAAAGCATTTAAGAAGCAGATTTTTCGCGCAGTGTTTGAGAGTGTCGTTATTCGTTCCGTTGTTGTTCTGTGTTATGTTTTTTTGATGGTGTGTAAATAAATGCATATTTAAGAATACTACTAATACCGAGTGGATTTGTGAATAATGAAATAAATGCGCGAAATCGTGTAGTATATTTAATAAGAAAGTAAGCGGAAAAGTAATAGCGTACAAAAACAGTCTACGCTGAATAACAAAACAGCAAAAAAACAAATGTCTACAGCAGTCCAGGGGGACAACTGAGGAGGGAGCATATATGTATGTAATGGCAACTGCAAACAGTGCATTCACTCGACTCTGCTACGTCTGAGGCTTGTTTGTTACCTTTGCTATTGCAGCAGTTGAGTGCGTATGTGTGCGCGGATGAGTGTATGTGTCTGTGTTCTTTTGTTTTTGTGATTTCCAATTCACACGCAAAATTTGTTATGGTTGGCATTCTACCCATACAACTGACTCGGTCACCTACCTGAAGCGTCAGATATGCTAATCCAGTACATAATCCCTACATCAGCACCAAGACTCATTGTAGAATAGAATTTGAAGCAAACAAGAAATAAAAATGTAAATGAGAGTTTGCTATTGAAGCTAAAAGCAGACTGTTATTTAATATTTGCAGAGTAGAGTTAAAAGTTAACAAATCAAAAGAGTAAGTGAACCGCGTGACTGATTATTTTATATCCCTTTAGTTTAGCTATCGACGCGTTCCTCTTCTATTTCTTCATTATGTATGTTGTGTGCTGCATGCGAACTTTGCGTATACATAACTTTGTAGTTCCCTCCATCATCACTTCCTCCGGTAGTCGCTGCCAGTCTGCTTGTCGCTGATTTTATGTTTCGAGCAGCGAATTGTGATTTCTATTGATTTTCGCCGACAAATTTATTTTGGGCATACATATATGTATGTATTTCTGTAAAATGTGAAAGTGTACTAGTTATTCTATAAAAGTGTTTTTGTACATGTGACGCGTCCAACAAAGTGCTGGCTACTTTCATGTTTTTATGAATAATTAAATCATTGCATCGCATGTTGCAATTGCGACTTCACAGTGATACTCAAATGAAATGCGGCCATGAGTGAGATAGCCCGCGAGAGTGTTTGCTTTCCGGTGGAAGTGAGAAACAGCGTGAAGGGAGTGATCAACTCAACCTTGTTTTAAGAACTTGTAATAAGTTTTCTTTTTAATGCTTACCTTTACTTGAACCGCACGGCAGTAGTCGCGGGTGAAGAAATTACAGTGTGTTGAAATATGTACATGTATGAAAATCTATGCTCAGGTTACAAAATACTCTACCGGATTCCTAAAAATAAGCTTACAAAAATGCCTCGAGTCTCCACTTTAGTTTTTTTTTTTTTTTTGACAATAAAATATGTTTAATGTAATAAAAAACAAAATTATTTCAAAATTTTAATTTTGTAGGGAAAAGCAATAAAAAAATACCTATCCACTGATATCTCAAAGTATAAATCGGAATAGTTTTGGCTCAGTTATTCAAGTTTTTCCAAAACCAATCTTTAAAAAGAGTAAAAAAAACAACATCAGAAATCTCATTATTACGATTCCGTTGAAAAAAGTGTTTAACATTTTTATGCAGATTTTTTTAGTTTCAACTTGTCATCTGGGGGTATTCTTCCCAAAAAGTTCTGTAAGAAACCATTTTTGTTCATAAAAAAAAACTCAATTTTTAGAGGTATTTTCAAATCGGTCCAGCTCACGTAAATCTTAATATTTTTCCGAAATATTTTGGTGGGCATCTTCGAGTTAATAACTTTTGTTATCTCGGCGGAAAAACCGCAACTTTTTTTGTGAAGCAGTCGAATGTACACACATACTCGAATGTATGTTTCTGGTAATTTTTTGACTTTCAACTTTTCACTTTAATTTAATTCACACTAATTTGAATGATCAAAATCCACTGTGCTACACATTTCCGCGGGCAATTTTCACACTCTCGTTCGCCATTTGGTATGAGTCATTTGCAGCGGCAATCGAAAAAAAAAGAGCAGAAACCAATCGGTGCTCCGCCGGGACTTGAGTAGATTCCTTATGCTTGTGCACTAATGGGTTCAGAAATGCACAACACTGAAAGCTAAAAATGAGCAACAAGAACTGCTGCATAGATGGGCAAACCAAACAAATCGCCACTCTCGGCATGCGGAACAAATTTATTTGCAGTGCAAGGCACAAATTCCGACACATTTCAATGAGTTAAAGTGGTTAAATTTTCTTTATGTAGAAATTCATGCAATTGAATTGAATTATTCAATGTAATTAAAGTATTCCGCTTTATTTCAACTATCATGAGAAAGCAATTACCTAAAATCTTTTAGCGCACAATTTTTTCACAGTAAATACAGCCCACAGATGAATCATGGGGTATTACCTGTCTGCCGGCAAATTTAATTCCTTTGAAAATAATCTTTTACCCTCTAATTTAAAAATGTGCATATGTATTTCTACCTATATATATAAGTACATATGTATGTATGTATATCTATGTAAACAGTTACGTGGAATAGCTTTCTAAATCGCTAAAAAAAAATCTACCATTAACTTGTGCTGATTTGGCATTCACCGATACGCTCACATATTGCCAACCCCAAATAATTGTTCATTTATTTGTTTACTTATGCCAAAAAGCAAATGCAAATGAATTCTAAATTAAAAAATGGAACAAGATAGGCATGTACTACAATTAATATAATACGCAAAAAATTGCTAAAGTAAATGTATCACAGGAAATGGCCAGCTAAATCCAATGCCGTAAATCATCAAAAACTTTGCCAATACATATCGCACGTTTAATAATACATACATATGTACGTACATATATAGAATTATTTCAAAATTCAAAATTTGTGGGAAAACGCATTCAAAGTTTGATCAATTCATACAGTTGGTAAACCAAAAGGCAGATGGAAAGACACATGTCTTCGCCATTTTTGGAAAGTTTAGTAATCCGTTAGGCTCCCCATCAAGCTTACTAACTCTATTACGAAAACTCCAAAAAAACGTAAATTTTGAATTACATCTCTATTTTATGAAACGTACGATATGTATGGCAATAACCCTACGCCATGTTATTATTTTTTGCTCTGAATATTGTGTTTCTTGATAAGTTTATGTACACTGTGTTTATATATACATACTAACTTACATATATATATATATGTATATACATATATACTATGCATAAACACACATATTTAGGTATGTGTAAGGTGATAGGGCTGGCAGTATGTATTTGGAATCAAATGGACTAAGCGACTTAAATCTTTGACAGTACCTGATAAACGAGTATGTACAATGTACATGTGTATATGTATGTGCATGTTTCTTGCATCGTCTTACAAAGTTCAAAGAGCGTACACAATAGATGGTATACTTACATAGCGTTACCTTAATATAGAAAGGCCCTATCTGACATCGTCGCTGATATACAAAAAGCCGTAACTAACTTAAAATCGAAAATTTACGTTTTAATTGATTATGATGCATTTGATCGCATTATATGGCCCCAAATCGTTTTATGCAATAAAAGATTTTAGTTAGTTACGGCTTTG